ACCCTCAAGCTTTGAATCTTTCCACTTTTTCGCCAATTTTTGCATTCTTTTCTCCAATTCTTCATCATCCATCGAGTTTCACCTAATAACATATTATTTCATAAATTAGGCTATAATCTCATTAAAAGAACCATAAAATGTCATAATTTGGAGCCCGAATAAGTGTATAAAATACACTTATCACATAGGTTTAGACAGAATTATATTTAGAGCATGTTTGAGCTCCATTTTTTTTTTTTATCCAAAAGGTATTTTGAAATAATATTTTGGTGGAGAATGTATGGTTAAAAAATAAGGAAAATTTTTTTAATATGCGTATAATATTATTTTATTGAAAAATGTGTGATTAAAAATAAGAGAACGAAAAATGCCTTTTGAAAGTAACGAGGACCAAACAAGGGCTCAATAGCAAACAAATATTTAAGACTTTTAGCTTCTACTCAACATAAGTGATTGTTGATAAGAAGTTATTGAATATATCGTTTGGACTTATAATAAATTAAAAATTGCTCATTCTACTCTAAGGAGAGCTTTGAGAGATTTAATCCAGTTTCATTTAGTTAAATTTATTTTTTTGATAAAAATCTAAGTTAAAATCAATAAAATTTTAATCACATTTTATGAAATTCAAAACGTTTATCAACTTTTTAACCATACATCTCATCAACTTTTAAAGAAATTTGTTAAAATTATAATTTTTAACCAAACCAAACGTGGGCTTAGCGGCATAAAAAAAAATTGTAATTATTTTATAAGTGTATGCGTCTTCAAATTGTAGTGTTTTTAATTTAAATTTGATTTGCGTGAATTGAGAGCATCTAACCGTCACTCAAATTGGCCATCAACAACCAAATCCCATTATAACATTGCCGGAGAGCCATTAAATGAAATCACTCAAATTAATACTTGATCATGAAATGTCTCAAAATAGGTAATTTGGTAACCTTGCAAATTTAAGAAAAATTAAAACTATCTACCTTCATGTAACTAATTTTGTTACGATTTAAAAATCCATTAAAGTTACCTCTAAGAGTGATGTTATGTATGTAGTCCACTACCAAGTCCTATACTAATGTAGAGTAACAGTGTGTTACATCATCAACTCAATATTCTTTAACGACGGATTGTCAACTCCATGTGATTTCATTTTTCCATACAAACTCCATTGTCCATGATAATCTTGGATTTTATTGTGTGATGACACAAGTCTAGCTGAATTTGAGAACCGCATTTCAACAACCCATATTTTAAGTGTCATATTCTTTTCTAGGTCAAATAAGTTTGTAGATTGATAAGTATAAAATGATTTTTTGTATTCTTTAGAACATGTAATGAGAGTATTTACCTTTTGGGGAACTCAAAAATCTCGAC